TACGAAATATTGAAGGGTCGGTATTGGATGCAGATTCAAAACATGAAAACGTTGCTGCAGAAGTACAATATGTTAAAGGCCACGTTGAAGAAGCAAAAGAAGATACCGTTGATGGTGCGAAGAGGATCTCCGCGATCCGTCCGCGTGACTACGGAGCAGATGCCGTCGGATTCCGGTATCGCCATACCTGTGCATCGAGCTCAAAGTAACGTGCGATAGTTTTGAACAGCACCGTGGAATCGCGGAACTGATTTATCTGCGTCCCTCACGCGACTCGGCGTCGGGGAAATACCAGGCTAGCGGGAGATAAAAGCGGATCTCTCCTTGTGACATTCGTCTTTACGTTAACATATAATATTAAATGCTATTCAATAATATGTATAAGTTTTGAGAAACGTTTACCGCTACGTGTTAGTAGAGGAAAGTCCTCTATCATGAGATAGCAGATTGTTAACGTCCAAATTCAATCACAAATCTTTTTTCGCAACGATTACATGATCTAACGATCACTTTTTCCACTAAATAGTTTTCACCCCAATGGCGATAATTTCATGGTAAAACCAACAGATGATGCCTATTAATTTAGCAGAAACTCCGCTATCTTGTATTAAAAGTCTATGTCATAATAGGGGGACTTTCCTCCATTACTCTGCATAATTCGAGTACTTGTCAATTCGAAAGTAAAACGATACCTTTTATTCACATTGGTGTATGTTTGTAGGTTTTTGCTGAACTCGTCGAGACTTGCGAGATCTGCCACCATAACACCCATGCCCGAGATGAGAACTGCCGATGGTTTTTGCGTACCAGTCAGCCATAAACCAAATCCGAAGTTCAATCCCCGAACCTAACCATGTTATCTTAAATTATAGGTTTTTATTTTTTTTTATAAAGGGACACCCTTTATTTCTATTTCTGGGTCCACGCGGTCAAGTTGGAAATCGTGACGTCAGAGACGAGATAATCGCACGTTGAGAAAATTCTTGTATTAATAAACAGCAGTAAAGTTGATGCTCAGCTCAGTTGGTGACACATACACTTGCAAAATATGATTGAGTTTCGTGTCACGGATTAATGGAGCTATTATCTGTCAAGAGAAAAAATAGTTCTCAAATTTATAATTGCGGCAAACGAACCAAAGTTTTCTTTTATCCAAATATCTTTTTATTTAGAAATGAGGGACAAGAATTCGCGGTGCGTTATTTTTCGCCTCTGACGATTTTTAACATGGTCGCAGCAGACTCTAAAGCTTCAGGATAAATATTTTCTTTGTTTATTTCTTTCTTATAATTATCTCGCTATATCGCCTCATTTTATTTATGTACAACGTGAGAACGTCGTTAATAAAGAAAACTGATCTTGTCAAACACGAGAAAAATGTGAATAATTTTTATTGTAAAATTCTAACGAAGATTATATTCATTTATATATTTGTAAGAGAGAAATGCACAATTTAAATATTTCTCATCAAAATTCAATTTAATAAATTCAATGTATTTCTCACCAAAGTATATTGATTTATTATTTTTTATCATGATACATCGAGGTTTTTTCTTTAATATCACCCAAATTTCGTATTTGCAAATAAAGTACGCAGGTGACTCAACATATTTACAGAGTGAATCACTTGAGTCAAAGATATAACGTTTGTTACGTCTGAATAAATAATTGTATATTATTTCTCTCGCAATCGGTGAACAGCGTTTTAACATCTTTAGTTCGGGAAATAATGGGTGTGTCAACATTTAATTGAATCACCCTGTATATCATCCTATTAAAACTCGTAATGACATCACTTGGGGCCAGTTTCACAAACGTCGGTCAACTGTTAACCAGAGTTCAACTCCCTATCTCTTTCTATCTTATTGTCTAAATAACAGACAGAGAATCAATTAACCTTCGGTTAGCAGTTAACCGTCGTTTGTGAAACTCGCCCTTAACTGTTAACTACGAATTATTTATGCAATGAATCAAGCCACGATGAGTCATTATGAGCGGCGGGTTGATTGCCGTAAGCTTCTCTCTCTACCCATAAACATAGTATATATAGATAAAATGCTACTTTTATGTTTTCTTAATGCGTTGAATACAAAAATGCTTCACGTATGATACACACAGGACTAAACAATATAAAATTATTAAATTACATCAATATATTTATAATATATATTATATATATAATAACAGCGCTAGACTCGCATTCATAACATTGTTTCCGTTATTATATCATTATAAATATTAAAATTGTTACGAAAAGAAATTCGCAACCTTTGCAGAAACCTTTACGAAATTTTTTACAGGTGTAGAAGTAGTTGGAGGTGAAAATGACGAAAAAAGCAACTTCTCAACATTTATAGTTTTTCTGGATTAAACAACAATAATGGATTATATCGCCGGTAACTGGCAAAATGTACATATTTTAATTAATTCACGACGTTTCGACCAGTAATACTGGTCCTTCTTAAGTGTCACCAATTAAAAGTATTACTTGCTGTCACATTTAATTGGTGACACTTGAGAAGGACCAGTATTACTGGCGATCCACCTCTAACTATTCTTCTGGAATAACTTTGTCTTCGGTACTGTTTTTCTTTTTTGGCTCTGAAGGTTATTACAAAGTTTCTTGTTGCTCAAAAGAATAGTAATGCCATGGCATATCTTTAAAACACCGCATGCAGCTAATGATACGTATCCGTGATACTGATTCCCATACGTGTTACAAGAGCATTGTACTTCGATTTCAACTGGTGATGTTGTACATAAATGTGCATAAATGTACATTTATCTACATCACCAGTTGAAATCGGAATACAATGCTCTTGTAACACGTATGGGACTTTAGTATCACGGACACGTATCATTGGCTGCGGCGTTTTAAAGATAAACATGGCATTACTATTCTTTCAAGCAACAAGAAACTTTGTAATAAACCTTCAGAGCCAAAAAAGACCAATAATACCAAAGACGAAATTATTCCAGACGAAATAAATGTTGAGAATTCATCATCATTTTCATCGGCAAGTACTTCGACGCGTCACACGAGTCCTAAATTAAATGCTTCTACAACAAGAAATAAAATACATTGGACGAACGCAAATTTGGATAAAGCTCTGTATAAGTGGTATAATCAACAAAGATCCAGTGGTTAATACCACTGGATCTTTTAACAATTATACCACTTATACAGAGCTTTATCTAAATTTGCGTTTCTCCAATATTTTTTATTCCTTATTGTAGAAACATTTAATTTAGAAATGTTGTGACGTGTAGAAGCAGTTGCAGGTAAAAATGACGGTGAAGACAAATTCTCAACTTTTATAGATTCTTTTGGAATAAGTTGGTCTTCGTTACTGTCTTTCTTTTCTAGCTCTGAAGGTTCGCTACAGGGTTTCTTGCTCGAAGAAATCATAATGCCATGTCTCTTTTTAAAACGCCGCAGCCGTGTACGCCATAAATATTACAAACATCCGTCACTGAGAAGCCTTGTTCCAACTTCTCGATTAGTTCTAATTTCTGCGCCACATTCAGGAGTACGTCTTTTCTCTTCACCTTCTCATTGTTTGGTACCATTTTAAACTGTAAGGATTGCAAAGTTATTATTTTATAATAAAAATTATTTAGGAAATAACTTACAATTCGTGTACGCCATAAATAATACAAACATCCGTCACTGAGAAGCCTTGTTCCAACTTCTCGATTAGTTCTAATTTCTGCGCCATATTCAGGAGTACGTCTTTTCTCTTCACCTTCTCATTGTTTGGTGCCATTTTAAACTGTAAGGATTGCAAAGTTATTATTTTATAATAAAAATTATTTAGGAAATAAGTTACAATTCGTGTACGCCATAAATATTACAAACATCCGTCACTGAGAAGCCTTAAACGCTCTTGAGACTCTCGTTTCCTCACTACGGCCATATCGAATTAGTCGTCAGAAATGGAAAATTAAGTATATTCCTTCTTTCTTTCATTGTATATCAGAAGAAATTAATTTTTTCGTATGGACTCGCGTTCTATATATTAATAGAATATACTCTCTAACAACTCTCTCACTGTTTTTTGCATTAATAATTTATTTTAACGTATATTGTAAAGGAAAAATTTATATAATATAATTTATCGTTTCATAATTAAATGCAATAAAGAAATACAAACATCTTAAAATTGTTAGAATACTTTAATAGAATAAATTTTGTTACTTAACCGCTCCAACTTGTCTCTTAAATAGAAATCAAAATATTTTTATATTATCTTAATTAATTAAATTAAGCATCAACTTAAGTTAAGTAATCATTTTTATTAAAATATTATTTATTACAATTCTAAGAAAATAATTATAATATTGTAATCATATATTGATTCATAACAAATAATTCATATTAGTAAGCATAAAAACTAACAAAGAAAATCTGATTGCACAACTAAATAACATATAGAGCAAATCCATTTTTCTGTTACACATTTTTCGGCAATTGATATTAAATTATTTATATTTTTGATATTATACAGGGTGAGTTTTTTATCTTGAGACAACGAAAAATTTCGAGAACTGCACATCAAATCAAAAAAAGTTTCAGACAAAAGTTGTATGGTTTCGAGGGGGCCATAAGACGGTACCATTGGTTTGACCTTGAAGAATTATTTGAAGGTCACATAAAGGTCACACCAATTTTTTTAAATGGCATCCCCTATTTTTTATTACATATTCTTGTAGCTAACCTCGAGAGCTTTCCAAAACGCTTGAAAGTTCCAATATTTTGACGTAAATTACAAAATATCTTGTAAAATATTTATTTTTTTATCATCTTACCTTATGCACGACAAGCGCGGTATCCGCAGTTCAGGCACGCGCGCAGAAGACCGCCGGAACCGCTCAGCGCTGAGCGTGGAAATCACGTGTAGCGCAGGTGCGAACACTTGCTGTAGGGTGACGGACGACGCACAAAGAGAAACGCTCCGATTTGAACTCTCAAAACACAGTAACTTTATTGTTCTCAAAACGAAGGACGAAGGAGACTTTAGTTGCACACACGGGCGACTGCGGGGCAATAGGCGGCAGAGGTCAAACGGTCGGACATCTTCCGAACCCGTAAATCCTGCTTGGTTGGCGCGGCGGAAATCTTGACGAGCGTTGCATTAACGCCCAGCCGAGTCGGACAATCTTGTTCGCCGGAAATCTTGTCGCGGAGCAGGGGGTTCTCGCGAGCGCGAACCGCCAAATGTTATGCCGTTACCGTACCCGTGCAGCTATATCTCGCACCTTGTCATTAAACACTTACCGCACACAAATTTGAAAGGAACCGCGTTTACCGGAGACGCGGATGAGCGGGTGGAACGGAGCGCGAGCACGTGGAGCGCGTCGAGGAACCGTTCGCGAACTGTGTTGAGCACTAAACGGCGAGAGCGTCGAGAACGGCGCTGAAACTCTGGAAGAGAGATCCCGGTCGCGAGGTCCGCGGACAAGACAAGAGCGCGGGCACACGCGGAAGCGATGCAGACAGTCTTTTTGCTTAAAGGGCGGACTCGCACGGGGATGCTCACGTCACCTGTTGTAAGACGAGACTGAACGCGGAACGACCGATTTCGCGGGCGCGAAAAGGCGGCAGAAAGATAATTGGCCGAGCAACATCGTACGACGCGATCACCGAATAAGATGCCGGCACAAAAACTCGGCCATACGCTCAACACGTGCCCGCGCCGTGCCATCGAGATTTAAACGGGCGCGAATTCTTGGGCCGGAGCGACAATAGATCGCGCTGTGATGCCGGATCGTATCGCAATCCTGAACATACCTTAATACTTTTTTGAACAGAATAATGATACAAATCAACTGGTGTAAAGAAAACAAACAATTTTGTAACAAGCAAAAAAAAATTTTTTTTAAATTGCTTGTTACAAAATTGTTTGTTTTCTTTACACCAGTTGATTTGTATCATTATTCTGTTCAAAAAAGTATTAAGGTAACATGATAAAAAAAATGAATATTTTACAAGATATTTTGTAATTTATGTCAGGGAAACATATACAAATGGTTATACGTACGTTAAAATTAAAACAAACAAGATAATTTGTTATAAAATACTTTGCAAAGATATTTTACTTTGCATTATAATACTAACATGTGTTATTTTATGTTTCTTAGTTTTAAATATTATTTTTAACACAAATTGTATACAAATAATGGAATTTAATACAATCGTTTAATACAAATTAAATTAAATTAGATGTAGTAGATTAAATTAAATTAAATATATTATAGTATAATTAATTTAATGACAAAATTAACATAAGTATGTATAAAAAATTATACAAATGACAGAAAGTGTGTAAATTAAACCCAGGGTTGAGAAATAACTCGTTACATGTAACGAAGTTACAGTTACAGTTGCATCTGTAACTGTAACTTAACTCAGTTATATTACTTTTTTTTTTTTTAAACTTCCACAGAGTGCATTAGACCTTGCATTTGCGCATAAACGCCTATCAACGCTTTACAATTCAAATGCAGATTTAATATTTTTATTTTTATTGCAAGAAAGTAACTGCGAAGTAACGATTCATTGCTTTTTGAGTAACTGTAACTGTAACCTTTCAAAATTTGTAACTTGTAACTGTAACTAGTTATATTATTGGCAAAAAATTGTAACTGTAACTAAATACTTTTATAAAGTAACTTTCCCAACCCTGATTACACCTAACTTGTCTGATTATCATATTGTCATATTATTTCAAATATGGAAATTTGTCAAATCTCAGACTACGACTTTAGGACTTTTATGTAGACGAGGCTTAAGTTAGATTAGGTTATTTACAGGTATTATACGTTTTATGACGTATTTTACCGTAAAATACCGTAAAATGTAAAAATCCCTAGGAAGGCCTTAACCGGCGGAGGAAGAAGAAGACGTCGTCAGTCACATGTTGTTGCGTCTCTCTGTAGTACACGTGCGTCGTAATCACTGAATGTGAGGTTATGTGTCACGGAGAGTATTAGTTCTTGTTACTCTTGACTGAGCGACAGCGATTTCCTTCGTAAATACAAAAAGGGTAAGCTGTATAACCTAAGCAAAATATTTATATTCTCTGCACTAGCGAATTTATTTATATCTATTCATTTATCCCATTTTTCTTTTTTAAATAAAACGTGTGCAATAAACTTCCGGACGCTCTCGTTTCTCAGGGAGCAACGTTAAAATGTCGTCGTGGAAGAAAGCCGCGAAGGCGAGCCAGAAGACCCACCGGGAGCGTCACCAGCCGGAGACTCGCAAGCACCTGGGGCTGCTGGAGAAGAAGAAAGACTACATCGCCAGGGCCAGGGACTTCCAGGAGAAGCGGGCGACGATCAAGCTTCTGAGGAAGCGCGCACTGAACAAGAACCCGGACGAGTTCCACTTTCACATGATCAACTCCAAAGTGATCAACGGCGTTCACCGGGAGAAGGACAAGGAGGACCAGCACACCCCTGAACAGATCAAGCTGTTGGAGACCCAGGACCTCAAATACGTAGCGTACAAGAGAAACATCGAGGCGAAGAAAATAGACAAGCTGCAGAGTCAGTTGCACATGATTGACGCAGCCAACGAGACGCCGAATCGGCATATCTTTTTCCTGGACAGCGCTGCCGAGGTGAAGAGCTTTGACCTCGCCAAGAAATTGGACACCCATCCGGCGCTTCTGTCCAGGCGCACCAATCGGCCAACGCTGAGTGCGATCAAGACTATGAAGCTGCCAGAACTTGATAATAAAACTATCGCCAAGCTCGAGCAGAAGAATCACATGGCTTACAAAGAGCTCGAGAAGAGGGTCAACAGGGAACGCGAACTGACGGTGGTGCAGCACAAGCTGGAGGTGCGCAGAGCGCTGAAAGACAAGAAAACCAGGAAACCGAAGCTAGTGAAATCTGGCTCGAAGGAGGCCGCTCCCATTTATAAGTGGAAGTTTGAGAGGAAACGATGATTTACTTACAGAATTTTTTATAATTAGGTGTATAAATTATTTGTAATATTATGAATGAAATGTATATACATTATTTCATTGTTTTCGACCATCATTTAATTAGCATTCTTTTAACATTTGCGACAAGTCGCTGATAAAACTTCACGTTTTTCCACAAATTCCATAGTTAACAAATAATTTTGTTCAGTAATAAAATCATTATTAAATAACGATAAAATCAATTCTTCATAATTTATATTACATATTAATATCTAATAATAATGAAATAAGTAGCGTAAAATATTGAAGCAACGTCGTTATTTGTAATTAATTACTTCAGTATTCGCCGTTTCTGCAATAATCGTCATTTGATCGGCATTATTTCTTCAGAAATTATTTCAAACGTCTCGGTGATATCCTCCGCTTCTTCCGACCTTCCGCTTGATCCTGCGTTTTCCGACGTTTGCACAATCGCCATCTCGCTCGTTGCCACTTGTGTCATTGAGTCTGTCGTCGACGACAGTCTGCTTTCTGCCGCGGATGTTTCCTCGATCGTCGCATCCGTCATTCTCATCGTGTTGTTAGTCGACATCATCGGCAACTCTATTGATACGCTTATGCAATCGTAACTGATCTGCCAGAGTTGTTTCTTGGCGTAAATGTCGAGGCGGAGGCAAGCCGTAATCGACCTATATTGAAAAATCATATCTTGCAGATCAAATTGAAAACAATCTGTGGGCAGCTTCAGCAATGTGAAAATAATTTTAAGAATCGCAAATCCACGTATTTGATACTTCAAATGTTACTACATTTGAATTTCTTCTCATTAGTTACAGATTTCTAACTACTTTAACATAATTTATTTTAACACATGCCTAGGAAATCGGTTGAGCTCCAAAATATTGACACACGCGGTCGAGAAGAGACAACCGGGAACGTACACGCAAAATTGGAATGGCTTGAAACCTGTAAAATAAATTCACGGAAGCAAGAATGCATAAAAATGGTTTTTCTCAAATTATATATAACTTACATATTCTATGTGTAATATTATATTAATTATAGTATATTGCCATTTAAAATACTAACTCGCGACTGTTCTGGTGCTGATTGTATCCGAACTCAGCGTGAGATCTATGTTTAGTCCGTTCCTCTGATACGTGAAGTTGACGCATACTGTAACATTAGATACAATAGTTCAATTCTTAGTCCGGTATTCAAATAGTCAGATCTTATATTCAAGCCCGCCTTAAGATCATCCTTAGATACTCCGTAGCCAATGAGATGTTACATACAGCATCTTTAGATAAATTCAAGACGGTCTTGAATATAAGGTTCGACTATGAATATTAGCCTCAATACATTGTTTTAAGTATCACTTTTGAAGACTCACGATCTTTCTGTTTCCTAGTATAAAGAATCATCACGCTTTGGCAGCAAGAACAGGAGAAAGACATCGGACAATTGCATGATTGTCGACTAGCCGAAACCGTTCTGTAGATCAGGAATCCTCTTGATACGCTGGTACCTAATAAATATTATCTCTGTTAGTTTTAACTTTAAATATGTAATAAAATAAACCAAACACACATCCCTAGTAGCACAATATATGGCGCAACATTGGGAAATAATGAAAATCTATTCCCAATATCGGTCCAATATCATAAGATGGATGTCTTTTCTTATTTAGTCAATATGTTTATTTAGCAATATTGGTCTAATATTGTATCAATATCATTGTTAAATATTGGTCAGTGCACTTCCAATATAAATCTAATATTATATAATTATTATCGTGAAATATTTACATTTATTCCATGGCCAACATTGGCTTTACGTTGGACAATATCGGCTAATGCATTTCTAATATAATCAGCATATATTGGATCAATATTTAGCCGATGTTTAGCCAAATGCACTGTGCTACTAGGAATGCGCCTAAAAATTACACGTTTGAAA